TCCATACAAACTGCTACTGGAATGAGTGATGGTGAAATAGCCAGAATCAAATTTAACAACAGCAACTGGATTTCAAATTTTAATTACATTAATAACAAACTCGTCCCTCATGGGCACGGGTGGTCCAGTCGTCTAAGGCGCCGCGATTCGCTGTGCAGAGTTGCGTCCCGTGGGCACACCAGAAACCTATAATTGTGAGTTCGAATCCCGGTTCGCTCCGATTATGTTTCTAGGTTTGTCAGCACCATACCCGTGCTCATGGGTTTCACCGAAGTGGTGAACGTCTGAGACCTGTATCACTTCAGGCTTCCCTCCCATATTAAGCTGACACGCCACGATATAACTGGAATACTGTTAAAAGCGGCGTTAAACCCAACTCACTCACTCACTCTTTCGCCCCTCGGTTTAATATACGAGCATGTGTGTCATGAGTTTACGAAACGAGTGTCAGAATTCTCATATTTCCCGAGCGAGGGCGTCTTTCCGTCCTTACGTCACAATAAGATTCGAATGACGACAACAATGCCGGTCGGAGGACGTGAACAATACACTGGTGTGCGTGACGTGATATTTTCACTACTGCGGATACGATATTTTTCAACTCGTTTATTTCTAACCCTATAGGCAATAAATTTCGATATGCCGTTATACAATGTCGATACAGACGACGGCATACCGGGACTGCACGTTTTAAGCCCAGGGCTTAAATACAGATTTTTCCTATTTTAATTAAGTAACATTTTGTAGGAATTTGAGCCCAAGGCTTAAGGACAAAAACATGATAAGAAGGATGAATATCTCAAAATGCATTAATACCCACAAATGGAATGCGAGAGCAATACTTTTACATCACACATTATGTTCTTTTTCAACTTGAAAATTATGAGGCAAGAGCACGTTCAAAATTGACAGCTGTAAAAAACGAAACCACAAATCAATATCGCATTAATGCGTGTTGGTCATATGCGTTTAAAATGTGACACTGAGTTTCAAGAATATCACCTCCGCATCACCATATAGAAGCGTGCTACAACGCGGGTTGCAGCACATCCGGTATGATCAATCGATTTTCAACATAAAGCGTTTTAATTTTCTGTTTCGAAAACCATGGGCTGAAAAACGGGCGGACTTAAAAGCGTTAAAAGCGTTCGATAATCAGAGGGGGGTGGGGGGGGGGGGGGGGGGGGGGGGTGTTCTCAAGGTCATAGTTTATAGTTCATATATGATGTGTTGTTGAATTGTGGCAGCACTATATACATCAACACTGTACTGGGGGATACATGTCTTCATTGCAGCACTATACACATCAGAACTATACCGGGGGATAAATGTCTTCATTGCAGCACTATATACATCAACACTATACCGGGGGATAAATGTCTTCATTGCAGCACTATATACATCAACACTATACCGGGGGATACATGTCTTCATTGCAGAACTATATACATCAACACTATACCGGGGGATACATGTCTTCATTGCAGCACTAAATACATCAACACTGTACTGGTGGATACATGTCTTCATTGCAGCACTATATACATGAACACTGTACCGGGGGATACATGTCTTCATTGCAGCACTAAATACATGAACATTATACCGGGGGATACATGTCATCATTGCAGCACTAAACACATGAACACTGTACCGGGGGATACATGTCTTCATTGCAGCACTAAACACATGAACACTGTACCGGGGGATACATGTCTTCATTGCAGCACTAAACACATGAACACTATACCGGGGGATACATGCCTTCATTGCAGCACTAAATTCATGAACACTGTACCGGGGGATACATGTCTTCATTGCAGCACTAAATACATGAACACTGTACTGGGGGATACATGTCTTCATTGCAGAACTATAAACATCAACACTATACCGGGGGATACATGTCTTCATTGCAGCACTAAATACATGAACACTGTACTGGGGGATACATGTCTTCATTGCTGCACTATATACATCAACACTGTACCGGGGATACATGTCTTCATTGCAGCACTAAATACATGAACACTGTACCGGGGGATACATGTCTTCATTGCAGAACTATATACATCAACACTATACCGGGGGATACATGTCTTCATTGCAGCACTAAATACATGAACACTGTACTGGGGGATACATGTCTTCATTGCTGCACTATATACATCAACACTGTACCGGGGATACATGTCTTCATTGCAGCACTAAATACATGAACACTATACCGGGGGATACATGTCTTCATTGCAGCACTATATACATCAACACTGTACCGGGGGATACATGTCTTCATTGCAGCACTAAATTCATGAACACTGTACCGGGGGATACATGTCTTCATTGCAGCACTAAATACATGAACACTATACCGTGGGATACATGTCTTCATTGCAGCACTAAACACATGAACACTGTACCGTGGGATACATGTCTTCATTGCAGCACTAAATACATGAACACTATACCGGGGGATACATGTCTTCATTGCAGCACTTAATACATGAACACTGTACTGGGGGATACATGTCTTCATTGCAGAACTATATACATCAACACTATACCGGGGGATACATGTCTTCATTGCAGCACTAAATACATGAACACTGTACTGGGGGATACATGTCTTCATTGCTGCACTATATACATCAACACTATACCGGGGATACATGTCTTCATTGCAGCACTAAATACATGAACAATATACCGGGGGATACATGTCTTCATTGCAGCACTATATACATCAACACTGTACCGGGGGATACATGTCTTCATTGCAGCACTAAATTCATGAACACTGTACCGGGGGATACATGTCTTCATTGCAGCACTAGATACAAGAACACTATACCGGGGGATACATGTCTTCATTGCAGCACTAAACACATGAACACTGTACCTGGGGATACATGTCTTCATTGCAGCACTAAATACATGAACACTATACCGGGGGATACATGTCTTCATTGCAGCACTAAATACATGAACACTGTACTGGGGGATACATGTCTTCATTGCAGAACTATATACATCAACACTATACCGGGGGATACATGTCTTCATTGCAGCACTAAATACATCAACACTGTACCGGGGGATACATGTCTTCATTGTAGCACTATACACATCAAAACTATACCGGGGGATACATGTCTTCATTGCAGCACTAAATACATGAACACAATACCGGGGGATACATGTCTTCATTGCAGCACTAAATACATGAACACTGTACCGTGGGATACATGTCTTCATTGCAGCACTAAATACATGAACACTATACCGGGGGATACATGTCTTCATTGCAGCACTAAACACATGAACACTGTACCGTGGGATACATGTCTTCATTGCAGCACTAAATACATGAACACTATACCGGGGGATACATGTCTTCATTGCAGCACTAAATACATGAACACTGTACTGGGGGATACATGTCTCCATTGCAGAACTATATACATCAACACTATACCGGGGGATACATGTCTTCATTGCAGCACTAAATACATGAACACTGTACTGGGGGATACATGTCTTCATTGCTGCACTATATACATCAACACTGTACCGGGGATACATGTCTCATTGCAACACTAAATACATAAACACTATACCGGGGGATACATGTCTTCATTGCAGCACTAATTACATGAACACCGTACCGGGGGATACATGTCTTCATTGCAGCACTATATACATCAACACTATTCTCGCCGTTTCTTTCTTTACATGTCTCCATTGACGCTGTGTAAACATCAATCTCTCGGGTTTTTCCTTTGTACAACAGGTTCCTGTTTGCACAAGGGAATATATCGTTTCTCTCACCTCGGGTACCTACTGCACTGATCAACGTATATTTTACGTACCCTTCTTTCATAGACAACGTCTTCATGAATGTGTGCTGAGTCGGTACACCCAAGCAGTTGTTCAACCTATTGGTCATGCAATTTCCAAAATGGCGTAATGTGAGTCTTGTTCGAAAAATGCTATATCTTGAATGTACATTTACAGACGTGGACCGAAGCTGTTATGTACCCACCACGGCCGACCGGTCTTTCCTGGTAACGGTTCTTGAATTTTATGAGAAGTTTACCCTTGGGTCCATAACTTGGTGTACCCCTATATTCTTATTCCCTTGTACCAATGTACCCCATTTACAACATCCCCACGTCAGCCGTGTACACCAGAACCAACATATACCACTGCACTGCTATACTCATCAACCAACATATACCATCGCACTGCTATACTCATCAACCAACATATACCACTTCACCGCTATACTTATCAACCTACATATACCATCGCACCGCTATACTCATCATCCTACATATACCACTTCACCGCTATGCTCATCAACCAACAGATACTATCGCACTGCAATACACATCAAACAACATGTACCATCGCACCGCCATACTCATCAACCAACATATACCATCGCTACGCCATACTCATCAACCAACATATACCATCGCTACGCCATACTCATCAACCAACATATACCATCGCACCGCTATACTTATCAACCAACATGTACCATCGCACTGCTACGCTCATCAACCAACATATACCATCGCACCGCTATACTCATCAACCTACATGTACCATCTCACCGCTATACTCATCGACCTACATATACCATCGCACTGCTATGAACATCAACCAACATATACCACTGCACCGCTATTCTTCATCAACCAACAGATACCATCGCACGGCTGTACACATCAACCAACATATACCATCGCACCACTATACACATCAACCAACATCTACCATCGCACCGCCATACTCATCGACCAACATATTGCACGGGGCTGTACACATCAACCAACAGATACCATCGCACGGCTTTACACATCAACCAACAAATACCATCGCACGGCTATACACATTAACCGACCCACCAATCCATCATTTCACCCATATACCACAGTTTTCGAGGACAATATACCTCAACCCCAACGCCTCAAAATACTCGTGCAATATTTAACCATATCTAAAGTACGTTATTATTATGCGTAATAAAACATATCCATGTACAAATATAAATGAATTCCATGTATCAATAAACCCATATTCTTTTTACACTAATATACACACACAAACACCAATGTACCGATTTACTTATACGACTATACCAAAATAATCCAAATACCAATTTCATACTGTACTAGTTTGTTTTCGCTATGGACAGTATTACACAATAATATCAAAATGTGGACTTATGTATCGCACAAAGTCCTGTATCTCACATGTTCCTCAGATCACAAGACATCAACAGAAAGTACTAGTGTAAGGGTGTTTTCTGACTGACATATCACTGAAATGTGACTCCACTGACCGTTCAGACAATGCTCTGACTAGACTCAAATCTCCCCCTCATACATGCTTTTCGTCATTTCGTCCATCTTCCCGAGGCAAAGGAGTTAACTGACTAGAAAAGTCCAGTTTCCACCCTTGCCGAACTAGGCTGGTATTATGGAGTTACATTTTGGCAGGACTAACGAGTCTATGCATAGTCCAATAAAAATCGCGCATCGAAATCCAAATCCGGTTCGTAAAATGTCATGCAGATTTCGGTGGATTGTAGGATTTGTAGAGCATGTGCACGCCAACTTCCCAGCAAATACTTTCAAAATCTTTGTCCACCTCGTCACATGCCGATACTAGAGCTTATGTTGTTTATTTCTCCACCTCGTCATATGCTGACACATGAGGTTATGTTGTTTATTTCTCCACCTCGTCACATGCCGATTCTGGAGCTTATGTTGTTTATTTGTCCACCTCGTCACATGCTGACACTGGAGCTTATCTTGTTAATTTGTCCACCTCGTCACATGCTGACACAAGAGTTTATGTTGTTTATTTCTCCAAAGCGTCATATGCTGACACTGGAGTTTATGTTGTTTATTTCTCCACCTCGTCACATGCTGACACAAGAGTTTATGTTGTTTATTTGTCCACCTCGTCACATACCGATACTCGAGTTTATGTTGTTTATTTGTGGATGTGCAGCACTACGTCTGTAACTCAATCCAATGATGTCGCTTGCTGAAAAACAAATAATTGGAAACGTTTAAAAACCGTTATGAAAAAGCACGCACACACCCACATACAACCACACCCATATACACATCCACTCACGAGACCCGTGAAGATCCGGGTTAAAATAGATCTTCAGCAACCCATGCTTGTTGTAAGAGGTGACTAAAGGGATCCAGTCCTGCTGACTTGGTTGATGCACGTCATCGCATCCTAATGGCGTGATCGATGTTCATGATGACAATCACTGGACTGTCTGGTAGACCTGATTATTGACAGACCGCCGTCATAAATCTGGAATATTGCTGAGTGCGGCGTTAAACAACAAAGAAACAAAACGAAACTCACCTACACATACACAAACAAACAGACACGAACACCCGTACGTACACCCACAACCAAAAACAAACATTCAACCGTAATTATTTTCGTCAACCACCAATCTCGACAAAACAGGGCATAGCCAGGCTACACTCAACACTGAACGTTTTTGCAGAACACATATATACAGGACAGTCGTCAACTCTGCTCTCAAGGCCAATACAGGACGACGCTGTACTTAATAGATTTGCATCGTCATTCGTGACGGTTTTCAAGCTGAATTAAAGCTGAATAGAACGGGCAAAAGTAACAGAACATGATATACCTTATCATGCAATACCTTCAGAAAAACACCCATCTCTCATGCGATAATGAGTCATACAAGACACGTTGGTTGTCGACCCAGCTTGTACAGCAAGCCACGTGTCTAGTCATGCAGTAAATAAACACACCGGTAGAATTACAACTGGTATATTTTAAAGCAGGAAGTGGCGTAAGGTTAAACTGCAGACGATATAATCTGGCTTCAAATCCCCAGCTGTGGCAGGCATATTACACCCGCTTGTTGATAAACCCTGACAACGCACCCCGGAGGGTATATAACGACAGAAAACAGCAGTACGTTTGATATGTGGGAATCATGATGTATATTACTATCATATTCTGCTTCTCAAAACCTCTCAACCCACTTGACAACGTATCATTTGCGTATGTTAAGCCAGGCATCCTTTGCTTTGAGAACGAATAATCAGTGATGAGTCACTGCCTGATTATTTTGATTGTTAAGTTTCTGGACAAAAAAGAGTTCTGAAAGCAAACGGCCTATTAAGAAAACCCACTTAATACCTAAACGCCAGCAATACGAGGACTGGTCAAAAAGTTCAACAAAACCAACAACTGTGAAGGCGTCTTCAATTTGTTTTTTAACATATTCTCCCTGCTTTTCAATACATTTCTCATATCGATGGTGAAGCTTTTCAATTAGAGTCAGGAAGAAGTTTTCTGAAGCCACCCTGAAAAACACATTCAGCTTTGAGGTCATTTTGTCGTCATAGCGCTTTCCACGAATGTGTTCTTTCAGTTTAGGAAACAGGTGGTAATCAATTGGTGCCAGGTCTGGCGAGTATGGAGGGTGAGGAAGCTCATCGAACCAACATTGTCGCACAGCAGCCTTTGCAAGTCGAGAGGTGTGAGAAGAGGCATTGTCATGAAGTAGTACAACTCCAGCAGTCAGCATTAATATCCTCGCCGCTTTTCTCTAATAGAAGCAAATCAGCAAAGTAGGCACGGGTAATCGTCGTATGACTTTCTTAGTAAACAACAGGGATAACACCCTTTGCATCATTGAATTCAGTAGCCATAACTTTCTTCACTGATCTCGAAGACTTGAATTTCTTTGGTGCCGGAGAAGATGAATGGTGCCATTCCTTCGACTCGGGATAACAGTTTCATCACCCGTTACTAATCTCTTATTGAATTTGACAAAATCCTCCCCAATAGATTTCATCGGCAATGTCAGTTCAGTTTTCCTAAAGATCAGAATTTAGAAACTTTGGCACCCAACGAGCAGATATCTCATTCATCTGTAAATTTCACGAATACTTGTTTCAATCGACCCATGGCTTAGACCTGTGTCTTCCTCAAGTTCAACAATTGTAATACGTCTGTCTGACAGTATAAGGTTTTTTTCTATCTCCTTGGTTGTATCTTCAATGATGGAAGTTGAGGGACGTCCAGACCTAGGGTCACCTTCAAGGCTTGTTCTCCCTGCCTTAAATGTAGCTGCCCAACGTTTAACAGCGAAATAGCTAGGGCACTTATCCCCATACACTTGTGACATACGGTCATGAATGTCATTTTCTGAAGTAAACAACTCGGTGACTGCTCGGTAGACGTGCTTTTTCCATTTCTGTGTCCATTCACTGGACACCTACCCCGTTCAACTGGCTCTCACTAGTATACAAATGGCCTCAACAGACCAAATAAACTTGCAATGATCTACTCACACCATGTACTACATTGGCAGGTTCACTTTGTTATGGCCCATAGTTGAAGCTTAAGGTTAGTCAGGTTTGCAACTCTTTGACCAGCCCTCGTATAAACAGATGGAGTTGAGCAGTAGAAGACAACCTATAAGGATTGCTTGTTTTTTTAACTAGAATATATAATACAAAAGAACAGAGGAACGAAACAGTTGTATAAGTGAAAGTATTTGTTTAAGGGGACAAATTATTTAATTATCCCAGGTGTAGGGGTGTTAAAGTCGCAAGAAGTAGCATGAGGATGATGGAAACGACGACGATGATGATGATGATGATGATGATGATGAGTGAGTGAGTGAGTATGGTTTTACGCCGCTTTTAGCAATATTCCAGCAATATCACGGCGGGGGACACCACAAATGGGCTTCACACATTGTACCCATGATGATGATGATGGAAATGATGATGATGATGATGATGATGATGATGATGATGATGATTGCCATTAACAGTAAAGAAAAAATTATACATACATGAACTACTCGATGACGTCACTGGTGACCGTAATGACCTTGATATGGTAGAGATCAAAGTCGAACCTCTTTGACGTGGGAGACGTCGTGGTCTTTGACAGCTGAAGGTAATACGGGCCTCCTTCCGGAATCGTTTTCCTTTGACAAAACACGTGATGAAGTTGGTGGAGTTGTTGAGGTACATCAGAAGGCTCACACATGCATTTATAAGATCTCGCTGTGCTTCTGCCTCAGCCCCTGGGGAACTGTCCTTCCAATAGTTCTCGAGAGCGTAGAAGACGGACACGGGCAAGGTGCAGAGGAGGTACACCAGGTTCAAACTCAACAGCATCGTTGTCATGGACTTTACGAGACTTTGCCTTGATCCATCTGCCCCAGGCGTGGAATCATGTCTAGCCATGGTCCGAGCATGCGTACGTAGTCGGTAAATGATGAGAATATTGCACACAAGATGGACAACGACAGGTACAATACACCACACACACAGATCTATCCAGGGAAACACTTTGCTGAGAAAGTCTTCATACTCAGCTGTCTCTACGGAATCACACACATAAACTCCTGGTTCTGTTTTAGTATGTTCCAAGAAGATCAGAAAGTGACTATTTAATATCAGGCATATGCTTATAACAATACCAACACTGATGGTGGCTACACGCTTGGTGCACAAGATCCTGTATCGCAGAGGTCTCCAAACAAATACCGTGCGTTCAATGGTCATAGAGACTTGAATCCAAGCCGATGTGTGAAGGCTTGAGTAGGTTAACCATGCGTGGATCTTACAAGCGACTGTATGAACGTCGCGGATATCCTTCTCAAACCCATGAAGCACCCATTCTCTTAGAAGTCCCACATACAGAACCGCTAGATCAGCCACTGCCAGACAGGTTAGGTATTTGGACATATTGGACTTCCGCATTGCCTTACGGGTCAACACAACAATGGAAAGGAGGTTGCCTACCGTGCCAAGTAGAAGGAGAATTGGCGAAATGATCGTCCACAAGAGATTAGCTGTTTCCTCGTTAGGCAATATGGCTTCATTCTCTTCGTTCGAACAGTTTGAATCATTCATCCTCATATTGGGTAGATCATATAAATAAATAAACTCCTTTGCCAACTATAAACAGAAGTGGTGAAATAATTCTCCAGAGAATGACTGGCGGTTTCCCGGTTTGGCAATATGTCTTCACCTTGAAGTTTGACTTGTTTGAATTAGTCATTTCTAAACTTACTTTAAAATATATAAGCAGCTTATAACCAATATGTTCCATGTCCTAGTGTTGTGTTTCTCTTAACTGATCTCTTCCCATTACAATGTGACTAGCTTAGCCAGGCAGGTTAGGTATTTGGACATATTGGACTTCCGCATTGCCTTACGGGTCAACACAACACTGGAAAGGAGGTTGCCTATTGTGCCAAGTAGAAGGAGAAATGGCGAAATGACCTTCCACAAGAGATTGGCGGTTTCCTGGTTTGAATCATTCATCCTGATATCGGAAAGAACATATGTGAATGCTATGAGTAAACCTTGTTCCAGTGAAAGTGTATATCTTGAACAGTGTGCATCTGCTGCTGGTTCCCTTAGGGTAATACTGATCTTCTTAGCATGTCATCAGAGAATCTCCACGGTATGATTCATGTGAACAGGGTGTCCCCACGGTATGATTCATGTGAACAGGGTGTCCCCACAGTATGATAAATGTGAACAGGGTGTCCCCACAGTATGATTCATGTGAACAGAGAATCTCCACAATTTGAATCATGTGAACAAAGTATGCACAGTCGATTCATGTGAACAAAGTCTCCACAGTTTGAATCATGTGAACAAAGTCTCCACGGTTTGAATCATGTGAACAAAGGCTGCACAGTCGATTCATGTGAACAAAGTCTCCACAGTTTGAATCATGTGAACAAAGTCTCCACGGTTTGAATCATGTGAACAAAGGCTGCACAGTTGATTCATGTGAACAAAGTCTGCACAGTCGATTCATGTAAACAAAGTCTCCACAGTATTATTCTTGTGAACAGAGAATCTCCACAGTTTGATTCATGTTAACAAAGTCTGCACAGTTGATTCATGTGAACAAAGTCTCCACAATTTGAATCATGTGAACAAAGTCTCCACAGTTTGAATCATGTGAACAAATTCTCCAGTTTGAATCATGTGAACAAAGTCTCCACAATTTGAATCATGTGAACAAAGTCTCCACAGTTTGAATCATGTGAACAAAGTCTCCACAGTTTGAATCATGTGAACAAAGTCTCCACAATTTGAATCATGTGAACAAAGTCTCCACAGTTTGAATCATGTGAACAAATTCTCCAGTTTGAATCATGTGAACAAAGTCTCCACAGTTTGAATCATGTGAACAAAGTCTCCACAGTTTGAATCATGTGAACAAAGTCTCCACAGTTTGAATCATGTGAACAAATTCTCCAGTTTGAATCATGTGAACAAAGTCTCCACAGTTTGAATCATGTGAACAAATTCTCCAGTTTGAATCATGTTAACAAAGTTTCCACAATTTGAATCATGCGAACAAAGTCTCCACGGTTTGAATCATGCGAACAAAGTCTCCACGGTTTGAATCATGTGAACAAAGTCTGCACAGTTGATTCATGTAAATAGTCGGGGTCCACAGCCCGGACACCTTTCACTCCAACAGCCCTGTAGTCTTCCTGCCTTGTTCTATCCCAACCTCACCCTCACCTTCCAACAACGTCTTGGGTCACCACAGCCGTAGTCCTCCATGAACGTGCAGCTGCCTGCTACCGGACGATCCATGCACAACACCATGCATCTGTAACGCGGATGTAAAGATAGTGTCATGGTGCATGGGCTGATTTCAGATTGACATAGCTGCATATTGCCTGCACAATGCAGGAGACACAAGACACACATCACGCGCTAGGAATAGATACGTCACAGTGTATGCCCCAGGTGGTTAAACAATGCAGGGGGACTTTTCATGCATTCAGGCCAAAGAAGAATTTAAACATGATAGCATGTTGTTTTTTTACGAGCGCGGTCGTAATGGTGACAAAACATATCTGTCAATACTTGAGGGTTGTTTTTTCATCTGATACTTTGCCAAATTTGTATCTCTAACATGACATATTATTATTTCTTTAAGTGAAATTCAGGAAACGATTTTGTACCTTTAACGTTACGACAATTGGGATAGCAAGCATGGGTATGTCTGTATGTCTGTGTGTGTGTGTATGCATGTGTGTGTGCGAGTATGTGCATGTGTGTGTGTGCATGTGTGAGCATGCGTGTGTGCAAACGTGTATATGTCAGGTGACAAAATGACCAACAATAAGATTAAAGCAACCCACCAAACAGGAAGGAACCAGCCTCTATTAATAACTGCTGGTTACATATTTAAGTTTATATCGTGACAAACGTGATATCCATCTGTATGCCTGATACCTCATACCTCCTGTAGTTATACTACACATGTATTACAATGCTGTATTCAGCAAAATACATAATACCGATAAGGTTGCTTGGCTACTACACAAAGCCTCCACACACTGGAACACAGGCACAACTTTGCTAGATTAATGATATCCGAGTTTAGCTTGTGCAAATTACAGCTATTAAGTTTGACAAGGCGGATATAATAGTTTGTTTATTGTTTAACGCCGCACTCAGCAATATTCCAGCTATATGACGGCGGTCTGTCAATAATCGAGTCTAGACCAAACAATCCAGTGATTGATAGCATGAGCATCGATCCACGCAGATGGGATACGATACGCTTCATCCAAGTCAGAGAGCCTGACCACCCGATCCCGTTAGTCGCCTCTTACGACAAGCATGGTCGCCTCTTACGACAAGCATGGGTTGCTGAAGACCTATTGAAACCCGGATCTTCACGGCACTGTAGACATTAAAAGCTGAGCATTCATAAACAAAAAAATTAATTTCCCTCCATGAGAACATAAATAATTCTATGCCATGAAGGAAGGTTCTTTCGTGTTGATCAAGCTCAAGGAATATATAACTTGACTTTTTGAACATTAAAACAATAAAGCAACGATCATGAGAACAATTTCTAGATTGAATCTTTCACATGATAATCTACGTAGCTGTAATATAGCACAGAATAGTCTACATCGTGTCTGCTATTCATCATCCGCGACTCGCAATTTGAATAAAAATGTTTGTTTGTTGCCCATGTCGCACAGCAATGCCCGTCAAACGACGGCGGCCTGTAGACAATCACGTCCTCCCTAGACAATTCAGTGACGGACCAGACAAGGTACGTGGTGGACCTGGTGTTGAAATACAGTTGTTGTCCAATCTATTCTCTAATATCGAGATAGTCTTATTTGTCTTATATGTTATTTCAAAATGTCACCTGATTAAAGGATTAACTGGCCATACCGACCGGACTGATTTGTACTTGAATGTATATATATATCTATGTTTTACAAAATATATTTCTATGTTATTAAAGAAGTCTCAAAGAGTGAGTGTAAAAGTTGGGTGCTTATGATTTCATACATATACTCTACGCTAAATAAGAGGTGAGGTGAGGTGAAACTGGGTTTAACGTGGCCTCCAAAACTATTGCACTTTTATAGCGACGTTCACACTAATTGAGAACCTGAAGGACTAGCTATATGACACATCAAATTGTCTTGAACATGGGCGAACTCCCGTGCATAATTGACATACATGTCCAATAAACTACATTGACAAAACAAAACAAACTATAGACAGTGTTCTAGATTGGCATGAATATTAAAACTTAGTAAAACCCATGACTAAGTATTGGTAAACACAATTCTTTCATTACTCACTTCTGAAACAATATTGATGGTTTCGCCATGTCTCCCCAAATGTTCATAATAACACCCGATAACCAATCACAGGCGACGACACAAATCAGGTGAAGTAAAGCAACATTGTTTGCTGAGAGACCTTGGCAGCTCATCTTCCCGAGGCAAGGGAGTTAACTGACTATAAAAGTCCAGTTTCCACCTTGCCGAACTAGGCTGGTATTATGGAGTTAAATTTTGACTGGACTAACGGGTTATGCAAAGTCCAATCAAAATCGCGCACCGAAATCGAGATCCGGTTCGTAAACTGTTATGCAGATTTCGGTCGATTGCAGGATTTGCCCAGCATGTGCACCGCCAACTCGTTGTCAACTGATATTTTTCAATTCTTTTCAAGTTTTTAATCAAGCTGCTCACGTGATTTGATGCATTTCGCGATGTAGGACCCGTTTTCTCACAATGTAGATCTTGATTGTCGATCAGATCGTCTTAACTGGGAGCCGCCATTTTGTTTGAAGAAAATGCAAGTGATACGAGAGGTGGAATCTGATTGGTCCATAGGAGAGGCATAGAAGGGACTTAACTCGTAATAGCCACTGGTGGCGCTATGATCGAGCCCAGGAATTCCAGCCTAGTTCGGCAAGGGTGGAAACTGGACTTTTAAAGTCAGTTAACTCTCTTGCCTCGGGAAGATGTGGCATCTTGGCTCCTGAGAGTTTCGAGGGCTTCGGTCATGTAACACAAGTGGCGTCTCCTGTGAGGCTTTGTTCGAATCGTGCCTCTGTTCACCCAGCAGTGAATGGGTACACGGTAGGATGAGATAACAATGTAGTTATCTCCTAGTGCTTCAGACAGCTTGGGTTGTATACTCCCCAGGGAGCTGAGAATGATTATTGAGTGTACACTGATCCAGTGATCGGGGCAATAAGAGTCATTTGAGCATGCCCCTAACTGTTGTGGACATGTCCGCAATATGAATAGCCTATTATAATAATACAAGATCATGGACGTTGTCAAAAGTTTATTACGAAACATAAACATAAATACGATAACTGGAAATGTGGGGATATTTGGAAAGCTAAAACAGATATTTGTTTGCTAGCCGTGTGCTGTAAGTGCCATGCATGCATCTGCCAGTGCGAGGTGAATGTTAGCAGGTATAACTAATTATGGTAGCTGCAAATCAAATTCTGAAGACGCCGCTTCTTATTTCTCATATTTTCCCGTTATTACATGCTTAGTGGTTGAAGCGTTCCCTCGTCACGTCGAAGACCATGGTTCGAATCCCTACATGGGTACAATGTGTGAAACCCATTTCTGGTGTCTCCCGCCGTGATATTCCTGGAATATTGCTAAAAGCGGCGTAAAACCATACTCACTCACTACTTGCCCGTCACGTGACTTGTAACTGGTGGGTTTGGCATAATTAGTGACATGTTTCTCTACCTGACCATAGGAGTCACAATGTCGTTACATGTGACGTGCTACTGACAACTGAACAACGAATGCTATATGGCTATTAAAAAGTAAACTATTTTACTAATTGTTCCCGAGTGACAAAAATAGACAGACTGTAATAAAAACATTCATAGAGTAAACCATCTCTACATCAAAAGACATATAAACCGCACTGAACTAACTTTCAAGCAAATCCTTAGAATCAAAGACCTTGGGAACACGTAGCTTTTTCCATGTTATTTCAGAGCTGCACACATATTTGTCACCTCTCATATTGTTGATGCAGTATTACTCTGTTTGATGAGGGAGTGATTGTGTGTTGATTGTGTGAAACTGTCAGTTATAAACATATATCATCTGTGACGTATGTTTCATAAACTAGCGTCAGCTTAATATCAGTAGTCATGAAGAGGTATATACTTTTAGACAGTATACTTAAAAGTACATGGCTGGACCATATCCACAACAAACACGATGTTTTGGAAATATTAATTTTGCATATAAACCAAATGAAAACTAAAGTGTGGCCATGACCCTTAACACGCACAAGACAGTAACACCAGCATACATGTATTAAAGTAAAATACATTTGTCATTGGGATACAAATGCAAAGTACTTTCACGGGAGGACTACGAAAAGGGTGAACATATACAAAAGGTTGACCATTGAAACGTAACACATCAGAGTGGTTATAAAGAACCATCTTTAAAGCAGGCACACAGCCCAGGAGACCTCACAGTTCACAAGTGTACAGACAGCAGCATGTACACCGTTTCCAGTTTTGCAGCGAGTGCCAAACCTGGATCATTTTCGGTACCAACCAGTCGTCATGAAAACAAAAACGAAATAAAATGAAAAATCCCAAATCATCAAAAGGCACCATTTCACTACTAGACTGACCTGTATAGCAAGTTTCAACAAGCAATATTCAATAGGTCAGGAGTTATTGGTCAAAAGGCGGCGGAGTGGACAAAAACGACTGTCTGTTCATGTGGGTGAAAGGTACCTGTTCGGTAGTATTATTGTACATATCTATTAAGGAAAGATAGGCTTGTCATGGGGATACAACATTAATGCAGATCACTTTTACAGGGTGACTAAAAAAGAGTGCTGAATACAAAATTCTGATCTTAGACAATGAAAACATCACAGTTGTTAAAGCCATCTTTAAATCATGCCTACAACCCAGGCAAGCTCACAATTCACATGACGTGTACATACAGCAGTGTATGCACCATATCTAATTTCTCATATTCCCACTGGGTAAACCGAGACTGCTGTCCTAGTCAGAGGACATAGAGTCTTGAAGGAAGTCATCAGCAAACCTTAGGACCTGCTTGAGACACAGCAACAGAGGCATATCAACACGCTTGTCTACCTCGACCTCGTCTTCGTAGTTCTTCACTGGGAACACACACGATCGAGGAAGGCCGAAGAGTTGTCCCGCTTGTTCCACAAGATCACCGATGGTGGCGCTGTTGAACATTTTGCCGACATTTTCCTGTACCTCCATGCAGACTTTGTCAGCCTTGGTCAAGATGATCACTTGGGGTATACCTTTGGAATTAAATAACATAGGTAAGAATTTCAGAAATGGAATGACATGCATTCCCTTCAAAACGTAATCAAGTGACTTAGGAAATAAAACGATATATTCACGCAAGAGAGACATTGGAGCTATGAGTTGACATTGGTCGATATTGGGATTATCACAGGCTTCACGTGAAGACGACATCGGTGGTCCAGTCGCCTCAGCTCCGCAAAGACGCTGTGCAGAGTAACAGCGTGACACAAACCTATGATTGGGGGTTCGAATCCCAGGTGTGCACTCGTTATACTTCTTGATTTGTCAGATGTATAGTCTGGAGGCTTTCAGACACCTGCATCACTTCGAGCTTCCCTCTCACCTCAAGAGTGAGTGAGTGAGTTGGTTTTAACGCAGCTTTTAACAGTATTCCAGTTATATCGCGGCGTGTCAGCTTCATGTGGGAGGAAAGCCCGTCACAGACGTTTACCAGTTTGGTGAAGCCCACGTGCACGGTCGTTGTCCTGCAAAACTAGAAACAATCGGGGCGAATCAGGATTCGAACCCATTATCAAGGTTTCTGGCGTGCCCAAGGGACGCAACTCTGCACAGCGAATCGCGGCGCCTAAGACGACTGGGCCACCCAGTGGATCAAGAGGATATGCTCTGATATAATAGATGTTTCCAAGCAGCGCGAAACGAAACTAACGAATTTTATCCACACGGATGCTTAATTCCCATTTATTATAGTTTTACTCGTAAACGATCAATACTTATGTTTTTGTCTGCTTTTCGACTTCATGTAGACATGGCGGTGAATAATTCTTGTTGGAATTTACGATTTTCCTGAAGTTACCTTTTGTGTTTATTCTTTGCTGTAGTGACTTGATGGCGTGAAGAATTTTCTCAGGGAAAACGTCGACAGTTGTACCGTCAATGACAAAGGCGATGCAGTGAATCTTGTCATCTGGGGAGGGGCTACTGTTGTACCCCGTACAGTCAGAGTTGATAGGCACCGTTGGGTTAAACTAAAACACATATTAATTCAAATCAATAAGACATCACTGACATCAAACAGGGTGGGGGGCAGAAGATACCCATTTGGGTCATCGATTATACATGCATCATGTACACGATTGTATTATGTCTCAATTTATTATGTGTACTTTGTATTATGTTTACTTTGTATAGTGTCTCCATTGTATTGTGTTTACTTGGTATAGTGTCTCCATTGTATTGTGTTTACTTTGTTTAGTGTTTACTTTGTATTGTGTTTAATTTTTATAGTGTGTCCATTGTATTGTGTTTACTTCGTATAGTGTCTGCATTGTATTGTGTTTACTTTGTATAGTGTCTCCATTGTATTGTGTTTACTTTGTATAGTGTTTACTTTGCACCTGGAATTCGATCTGAAACTGGTTTCTCACCTACAGTTTTGTAAGTAATGTATTTCCCACATACTCATGTATGTAAGGTATAAGGCGACACCTTTCACGGGAGGCCTAGTTTTATAAGGTGATTGCGTCCTCAGGGTACACCAGAAAATTACGATAGTTGGTTCCAATCTCCGATTACCATATTTTCATATTTTCGAGATTTGTCATGGGTTTCAATGTAAACGTCGTAAATGGATTTGTAAACGTCTGAGACTAACATGACTCCGGGATTTCCTCCCACATTAAGCTGACGCCCCATGATATAGCTGGAATATTGTTATTTGCAAAGCGGCGTAAAAACAACTTCACTCATACTCACTCCATTAGGACAAAAGTATTGTTCGATAAGGCTGAAATATTGCCGATGTGAACTTTCAAGTGAACATTATTCAATATTATTAACACGATATGATTCTGATAGTATATACTATGTTCATACCCGCTGTATTGTGGTGTCACACACTACATTGTATTATATCCTATCATAAAGGATTAACCCACCGACCTGGAATCTGTCTGGGACGTGACCTTCGATGACGGCAATGAGGTCAACAAGGTCAAGGCCACCGTCACACTCCAGTCCCCTGGTGTCACAAAAACGCATCTTCAGGGTATCTCCGGTCACGTTTGACTTCACTCTGTAGCGTCGGTACTTTAGTTAACAGAATGACAAAACAAATTATACAAAGCTAACCAATTTGAGGTATTGTCTGACAAATCACTTTTTTTTAAATATTTTTTTTAATTTATTTTTTTATTATTATTATTTATTTTTTTACAAAGTTGAGCAACTGTAAGCACTTTCTGACAAATAAATGTAATTGGGGTGTCTTTTCTTACCATTGGCTACATGCTGTTTTCACTTACCGTGGTTGTTAAGCTCCTGTCAGCACTTCCGCTTCTAGCTAGACCAGTTATCTCCCTTTGGAACACTGAGTTGATGGAGTTAAAGAAGCTAGATTTCCCTGCTCCAACCGCACCTAACAGTAGCATGTTGACAGCCTTGACCTTGCTGCCTTCTGGCGGGGTGAATCGTTCAATGTAGGACTGCAGCATCTGAAACCAAACAATTCTCCCTGGCTCAAAGGCACATAACCAATCCACTTTCATCACGACAGACACATATCAGACATAAAGACACTAAGCATGATCGCTATAAGGCTTACTGTTTTAAATTTGTGATAACAACTTAAATCCTCAAGTGTTTACAAATACTTAATTAAGTAAAAATCGCAATGAGAAACAGGCTCCCAGGACAAGCTTATATTCCGACAAGCTACACATTCACATGCACAATCTTCATGACTGAAAGAAAAGCGCTATATATTAACCTATTTTGCGCCAAACACTATCGATGGAGGCTGAGCGCATGCGCTCGGACTATTTATAAAGATATGAATATGGTAATGGGGCCAGGGGGATGAGGTATGCACGCACAAACATATAAACCCGGTTCAAGAGATCAGCTTAAATCTTAAAGTGTTTACAATGACTTATTTTAGTTAAAAGTCGCTTCCGACAAGCTCAATTTATAGCATATACAATCACCCTACAGTCTGCACACACACTATTTGAAAGAAAAGCTTCAACGTACCTCGTAATTTACTTGACCAGTTTGGCGCCAGGCACCATCAGCAAGGAGCTTGCTTTCGGACTCTACAGAAAGACATGAAAATGCTCATTATTTAAAGTGTATTTGTGTATATAAAGTCAGGGAATATATATATATATATTATACATATTACATATAATACATGTACATGTAATATATAATACAAGATAAAGTCCACGATAGTCCAACATCTTCTTTATATCACTTAAACTGATAAAGAAGATGTTGACCTAACGTGGGCTTTATTATTTTATGTTTTATACGTATAAATATAATGTGTGTGTGTGTGTGTGTGTGTGTGTGTGTGTGTGTGTGAATGCGGGAGGAGAGGTATGTATATAAATAAAACATAACATACACACACAAAATGGTTTCAACAAAACAATCGTTATCATGTTAACGACAGATTTATAGAACTGTAATGAACTATTGCCTTTCCGTAAGGGGGAGCTGTGTTTGATTGAAGCATCACGAATATGTAAACAGTAAGCTGATACAGTTAACCCTCTTTTCATGTCATTACCTGTGACGCGGTAGACCTCAGAATTTCCTGTGACGTGTTAGACCTCGATATTACCTCTGACGGGGTAGACCTCAGAATTTCCTGTGACGTGGTATACCTCGATATTACCTCTGACGGGGTAGACCTCAGAATTTCCTGTCAGGTGGAAGACCTCAATATTACCTGTGACGCGATAGACCTCAGAATTTCCTGTGACGTGGTAGACCTAAGAATATTACCTGTGACGCGATAGACCTCAATATTACCTATGACGTGGTAGACCTCAATATTACCTATGACGTGGTAGACCTCGATATTACCTGTGATGAGGTAGACCTTGATATTACCTGTGACACGGTAGACCTCAATATTACCTGTGACATGGTAGACCTAAATTTTACCTGTGACACGGTAGACCTCAATATTACCTGTGACATGGTAGACCTAAATTTTACCTGTGACACGGTAGACCTCAATATTACCTGTGACATGGTAGACCTCAATATTACCTGTGACGTGGTAGACCTCAGTATTACCTGTGGCGTGGTACACCTCAATATTACCTGTGACGTGGTAGTCCTCAATATTACCTGTGACGTGGTACACCTCAATATTACCTGTGACGTGGTTCACCTAAATATTACCTGTGACGTGGTTCACCTCAATATTACCTGTGACATGGTAGACCTCGATATTACCTGTGACATGGTAGACCTCGATATTACCGGTAACTTGGTAGACCTCGATATTATCAGCGACGATGTAGACCTTGATATTACCTGTGACGTGGTAGACCTCAATATTACCTGTGACATGGTAGACCTCGATATTACCTGTGACGTGGTAGGAATCAATATTACCTGTGACATGGTAGACCTAAATTTTACCTGTGACTTGGTAGATCTCGATATTACCAGTGACGTGGTAGACCCCAATATTACCTCTGACGTGGTAGACCTCAATATTACCTGTGACGTGGTAGATCTCGATATTACCTGTGACGGGGTAGACCTCGATATTATCAGCGACGATGTAAACCTTGATATTACCTGTGACGTGGTAGACCTCAAAATTACCTGTGACATGGTAGACCTCGATATTACCTGTCACGTGGTAGGAATCAATATTACCTGTGACATGGTAGACCTCAATTTTACCTGTGACGTGGTAGATCTCGATATTACCAGTGACCTGGTAGACCCCAATACTACCTCTGACGTGGTAGACCTCAATATGACCTGTGACGTGGTAGATCTCGATATTACCTGTGACGGGGTAGACCTCGATATTATCAGCGACGAGGTAGACCTTGATATTTCCTGTGACGTGGTAGACCTCAATATTACCTGTGACATGGTAGACCTTGATATTACCTGTGACGTGGTAGACCTCAATATTACCTGTGACGTGGTAGACCTCAATATTGCCTGTGACGTGGTAGACCCAAATATTACCTGTGACGTGGTAGGAATCAGTATTACCTGTGACATGGTAGACCTCGATATTACCGTCACGTGGTAGACCTCAATATTACCTATGACGCAGTAGACCTCAATATTACCTGTGAGGCAGTAGACATCGATATTATCTGTGACGAGGTAGACCTCGATATTACCTGGGACGTGGTAGACCTCAATATTACCTGTGACGTGGTAGACCTCAATATCTGTATACTGAACGTTGTTTCCACAGAACGCAGTCTTGTCATCTCCCGCCATGTTGTAGTGGGTTCCCACATTTATTGACCCATTTCCCTGGAAGTAGTTGTGAGTCTTGGTGACAGTCTTGGTGAAGGGCTGTAGGTCGGACCCGAAGCAGGGGCCGTTAAGGCTGTTCTGCATAACTGCATTTCCAGCTTGTTTGACAGGGTAACATTTTGGCTTGAAGGACTTCTTGTCTGTGAGTCGGAAGATGAAGGCTGTGGGGTCATTGCTATACTGGCTTGTTGTAGACAAGTGGGATTCGTTACGGTTGTTGCCGCAATAAGGGCAGATCCATGTGGTAGTGGCTGGTGAATAACTGGCATGGTTACCACACAGACAAGTGACGGTCGTCGCTGTCCACGGGATGGAGGTGTATCCGCCGAACACATAACCTGCTGTGTTGTACAAGAGAGTGACCGTCGGGCCTTTGCCATTACACTTCTGATGAAACACAGGTGCACTGCATCCATCTCTCGTAGCCTGGTACAACAGAGTAAACTCCTTCCTCCCTCCCAACCACTTACTCAGGACAGACTTGTAGCGACGCTGTATTTCGGCCATCGTCGTTTACCATGGACTATCTACAAAACAACAACATCGACATAGATATGGCGTACATGGCATGTGTAGAAATGTATTAGTCAGACCGAAGACGTATATAGTCATTGTATACACGTCTTTGGTCAGACAACTTTTGATATTGAATATCAGTTTTCCATGTGTCAGATTGGTCCACATATTGGATTTGATATCGAATAGGGAGGGGGGACTAACACGTCCGTCACCAAACTACTTCGCGATCTTAGGTGAGTTACGTCGGAGTGACTTTAAGTGGTGTGTGTGTGGGTGGGGGTTTGAGGAGGTGGGGACTAACGCGACACATGCATTTAACCTGCGATTCTTCATACTCTTTTAACACAATATATGAGAGGTAGAGGTTATCACGCGAGTTTGTTTGGGGATGGTAAATATCCTGTATAAGGAATAAACATTGTATTTAGTGAGCCTTGATATTTAGCCCCAACGGATATCGTTTTTATCCGTTGGCTTTATCCTGCAGAGAAACCCAGCCATTATATGATAATAGTGTAGATCCCTTTCCTTTATTTAATTTAAATTGTGAAGTCTTTGTTTCGGAATTTGATCGTCTTTATCATGCAAAGTATTGTTTAAAAAATAGAGCTTAAGGTGATCTCGATCTTTGGATCGTGGTCTCACATGGACACATTGATAGTAGAGGTGGAAGTTACCTCCCTTGAGACCGTGTATGACAATCTGAAATAAAAATTATCAGCAACACACAGGCCAGATAAGATTGATTGATGGTGTCAGGTACAATGTAGGTCAGAACAAACAAATTAACGGCGTTTTACTCCTGTGTTCGCGTGGTACCAGACACTACACACAGTTCAGGTGAACCTTCATCCTACATCCCCACACCAGTCAGTTGATGGACATGGACAAGGAGTCTGATGTCTCACCTCAGTACCTGGATAACGTATAGATGGTGACAGCGAGCCGGACTTTCATCAGCTTTATCCGGAAAGGGATGACGGTTGCACTTCCTGTCTCGGGTGCGCATACACCTACTTTCGGTTTAACATTGGGGTATTTTACGACGTCTTCTACAACTAGCGACGATTGAGTTGGTAGTCATTGTGTTGTGTGTCTGTAAACATTGTTGACGCAGTAGTCAGCCAAACAGACACACATCCAGACATGTTTCTTCCTTATCAAGGCCTAATGGTCGGGGTTAGCCTAGTGGTTAAAGCGTTCGCTTGTCACCCGGGTTCTATTCCCGACATGGGTACAATGTGTGAAGCCCATTTCTGGTGTTCCCCGCCCTGATATTGCTGGAATATTGCTAAAAGCGGCGTAAAACCATACTCACTAACTCACCCTAATAGCCTAAAATTCAAATACAATGCAAGAACGTCAGCATGCAGTTGTCAATAGTACACAAGTAAATCTTCGAAGCTTACATGAACAAGAAAATTAATTCATCATCACTGCAACGTGACACGATTAAATTGCTGCTTGGACTGAAGCATTTTTACAAGGTCTTGTTGAAATTAATAATATTTAGTAAATATTTATTTCTCAACATGTGTAGATATATTTCACATTTATATAAAATATGATATCCTCAATTGCACCACTACCACAACTGTGCATACAAAATCACGTACCTGACCAATACATTCTCTTCACGGGAGGGGGGCGGTCGGGTAGCCTAGTGGTTAAAGCGTTCGCTCGACACGCCGAAGACCCGGGTTCGATTCCCGACATGGGTACAGTGTGTGAAGCCCATTTCTGGTGTTCGTTTACTCTCTGCTCCATTGATGACACACGTTCAATGTTTACAAGCCACTATATGTTGCGGGCTGTCATCCAGGTTATATTGAAACTGTTCCTCTGGTTGCCGCCATATTGCCAGAACTGTCATGGAATTCCGGGACAAGGTTTCAGTCGGTGTGAACAGATAACCCTCCCGTATGCATCACATCTGGGTAGTGTCTACAACATCTTCCCGAGGCGAGAGAGTTAACTGACTATGAAAGTCCAGTTTCCACCCTTGCCGAACTCGGCTGGTATTATGGAGTTACATATTGGCTGGACTAACGAGTCTATGCATAGTCTAAATCTTTTCATGTTTTTAATCAAGGTGCTCACGTGATTTGATGCACTTCGGGATGTAAGACTCGTTTTATCACAATATAGATCTTGATTATCGATCAGATCGTCTTGATTGGGCGCCACCGTGTTGTTTGAAACAAATGCAAGTGATACGAGAGGTTGAATCTGATTGGTCAATAGGCGAGGCATAGAAAGGACATAACTCGTAATAGCCACTGGTGGCGCTACGATCGCGCCCAGGAATTCCAGCCTAGTTCGGCAAGGGTGGAAACTGGACTTTGAAAGTCAGTTAACTCTCCTGCCTCGGGAAGATGTGTCTTCAAGAGAAGGATGCTAGGCCCAGGAACACAGGAACTTGCATCAACACATATCCATGAAAGGTGGCGTTGCATTAAAATTCATAAACAACAGACCGCCTCCGTGGTCTAGTGGTAGAGCGTCCGCCCGTAGAGCGGAAGGTCTGGGGTTCGATCCCCCGACCGCGTCATACCAAAAGACGTTAAAAGATGGTACTTGTTGTTACCATCAAGATTTGATACCATATAGATTTGCGATGTGCCTCAAAATACTTCAGCACAAGTGGCACACACTTGGCAAGAGCGAATATTTATTTTCTCAATTTGCAGGTGATACATGTTCAACTATAACATTAGATGACACGGGGACTAGTCTTAGGCATAGCATTTACTTAAAACAATCTCGCAAAGAGGGTGAAGCTTAACAACAAAGACAAACTCAAGAGTATTAAAAAAACTAACAAATACTTACAACAGCATTACCTCTGGTCAGCTGGACATGCTCATGATATTGTCGGAATTGTACAATCGATTCTGCTTTTAGATCAGCTAAAATATTGGCAAAGAACAAGATATAAGTAAGAAACAAATTCTGCTGCTAGTATTGAACTGAGGTTAAGATTGGCAAAGAACAACACATAGATGTTTGCTAATTGTGAGAGTGGCGGGTGCTGTCAGAAAAGCAGGGCATGATTGACGCTTCCTGTGAACATCTGCTGTCATCACTGATTTTCAGTGATCCATTTATAGAATTTCCCTCACTATTGACGCCCGATGGAATCTGTTTCGGCAAATAAACGAGACTGGTTACACTCTGCCGTTGACGTTTGAAATATATTTGCGTGGCAGATTCGTTTTCTATTTCATTACATAAGTACTTCCCTGGAACAGAAGAACGCCATCTCTGTCATAGAACTCATTTCTGTGCGTACGAATAACTGAACATATATCTCAGTTCTGCAAGTAATGGTGGCCACAGCAACCTCACAGATTGTGACAACTGTCACGTGTCTGGCCACGACTCCGCCACATCCCAATCCCCGGACACTTCGACTGCAGACAAAAATGCTGACATTTGAAACCTCTGACAACCTATGAATTTGTTTAATGTTAAGTCAGGTGCTCTTAACTTGTTTGTGCACCGCAGCTGGAATGTATTAATGACATGAAAAAAGAAGGAGTAGTTTTTATTTTAGTATCTGTGTTTAAGAATATATATATATATATATATATATATATATATATATATATATATATATATATATATACAAAAATGAGGTAAATGTTCACTCGGTGTACATGTAATATATAATAAAATAATAAAGTCCACGTTAGTCCATCATCTTCTTTATATCAGTTTCATACATAGTACTTTCGCTGTCTCATGACAGCTCTTCAGTGTGAAGTTCATGAAGTGTGCTCTTCTGTCATGAGACAGCGAAAGTACTATGTATGAAACTGATATAAAGAAGATGATGGACTAACGTGGACTTTATTATTTTATTATATATATATATATATATATATATGAATATATATGAATAACTGAATAAATAGCGGGAAGCCTCTGTTTACAAAGGAATATTAATAATAAACTACAAATAATAATTACTTGCTTAAAATGCGGTTGATATCGTGTCATTGTGAAAGTACATGTTTTATATATCATGTATATATGTTTAGTTTCCACAACTTGCTTTGATCACAGATGACATCCCCCTCAATATTTACAGCTCGACAATCCATGTAGGCATGGGTCGCCCTACATCATAATATGTATGTATAACTTATGGAGAATATAAGTGATCCAGGCAGATCCGTATTCCAGGCGGTTACCCTTGTGACGTTCATCTTTATTAATAAAACATGTCTACTATTTTTCTTTAATCCGGACACCTGTTTATCTGGGCGATTTCCCCCGGAACTGACTGACACGGTGTCACCGTATATATCTACAGCAGCATGTACAGGCTTTTGTTGTTTGTTTGTTTGTTTGTTTGTTTGTTTGTTTGAATTGTGTATTTATAGATTACATACACATATTTCATGTTACAGGTATCTCCTATGGTACCCATCACTTCCAGGAAGACGTCATGTCCGCCCCTTCCTCCCTGGAATCACGATTGTACATACAATGGAATCTGTCAAAACACGACTAGAACTATCCGGATCTTTATCAATACCGGACAACGAGTACGATCACGAACTTACAATGATAATTTATCGTCAATAAGCTGGCTGGTGTGCAATTTGGATTCAATATTATGTACGATCCTGCTTGTTCATGGCTTGATATCAAGGGACGCAACTCTTGCTGAAATATCACTGATACGGACCAGTTTGTGAATTGGACTCAACTTTCGATCCAACACAATTCCAATTTAGACAGATTCCACTAGACACTATGCATATCAGGATAAGTATTATTTCTGTGACTGTTGTGTTGGAAGTACCTGATTGAGCGCATGGTGGGAGTCCCTCCTGGCCAGTTCCCCAAACACCCAGTCCATCAGATCTGAGGATAGCTTCTGGTGTTGTGTGCCAGGGAGAGGCCACGGAGATTGGCATGGACCCTATCCGACCAGCCAGCCTATCAGGGAAGACGGTCTTACAGCCACACATGACCAGGGTTCTTAGTTCCTCACGGAAACCATGTTGCTAATACTCACTATCTATCTATGATAATAACTATTTAATTTCTATGATAATATAAGTGATATCAGGTGAATTGGGGTTTAAGGTCGCATTCAAAATTATTCCACTTAGCGACGTTCAGACGCGTGCTTACGTGCGTCTGTGCGTGCGTGCGTCCGTGCGTGGTTGTTAGTACTAGTCCGGACTTTATAGTGCTAGCGATTTTAACATGGATAGACAACTCGAACAATCTATGCTGGATCCAAACAGACCAGTCCTTGTTCTATCCCCTATTACAGTCAGGGTAACAACAAGTATCACCTTTTAACGTCTTTTAGGGATCGAACCACCGACCTCCACTCTCACGGCAGACGCTCAACCACGGGGGCGGTTTTGTGATTATCGGGCAATATGTGTTTGTTGCTGCTTGTACTAGTCCGGACTGATGCCGATTTATAGTGCTAGCTCACTGAGATACCATGCCGCAGTTTCACATGAATACCCCACTCAGACACAGTATACTGTGCGCCAGACAGGGTAACAACAAGTACCATCTTTTCACGTCTTTTGGTATGACGCGGCCGGGGATCGAACCCCGGACCCCGGACCTTCCGCTCTCCGTCACCACAAGACCACGGAGGCGGCTGGGGCAATATCAGCTGCACATACAGAAATAAATGTCTATTGCATATCATGCTAATTAGTGTTCAGAAAGTGGACTAGACACCAGTTTACCAGTCTCTTGTTGAATAAATAAACGTGGAGATCACTGGTCCGCCTACGAAGATGTTGTCCTGACTGTTGGCAGATGGCAGGACTCCCATAAAAATCCAAATTAGTGGCGTGACCTTCTGCAAAGGGTCGTGACATTGTCCCGTGATAGCTCGGCTACACAATGCATTGAAATGTCAAGAGTAAAACTATCGGGTCACCTTTACATCCATTCTTTTATTTGTACATTCATCGATTAATTCCACGCGAACATAATTTGTTGTCAATTTATCTGCAAGAAACTGATAAAATGTGTCGAAGAGTTGGGCGAATATGCGTCGTGTGATTCCAGTTTGATCCCACTACTACTACCACTACTACTACTACTACTACTACTATTACTACTACTACTACTACTACTACTACTACTACTACTACTACTACTACTACTACTACTACTACTACTACCACTACTACTACTACTACTACTACCACTACTACTACTACTACTACTACTACTACTACTACTACTACTACTACTACCACTACTACTACTACTACTACTACTACTACTCCTACTACCACTACTACTACTACTACCACTACTACTACTACTACTACCACTACTACTACTACTACTACTACTACTACTACTACTACTACCACTACTACTACTACTACTACTACTACTACTACTACTACTACTACTACTACCACTACTACTACTACTACTACTACCACTACTACTACTACTACTACTACTACTCCTACTACCACTACTACTACTACTACCACTACTACTACTACTACTACCACTACTACTACTACTACTACTACTACTACTACTACTACTACCACTACTACTACTACTACTACTACTACCACTACTACTACTACTACTACTACTACTACTACCACTACTACTACTACTACCACTACTACTACTACTACTACCACTACTACTACTACTACTACTACTACTACTACTACTACTACAAATACTACTACTACCACTACTACTACTACCACTACTACTACTACTACAAATACTACTACTACTACTACTACTACTACTACCACTACTTCTACTACTACTACTACTACTACCACTACTACTACTACTACCACTACTACTACTACTACTACCACTACTACTACTACTACTACTACTACTACTACAAATACTACTACTACTACTACTACTACTACTACTACTCCTACTACCACTACTACTACTACTACCACTACTACTACTACAAATACTACTATTACTACTACTACTACCACTGCTACTACTACCACTACCACTACCACTACCACTACCACTACTACCACTACTACTACTACTACTACAAATACTACTACTACTACTACTACTGTTACTACTAGTACAAATTTTACAACCACTACTAATGCTGCTGTTGCTTCGACTGCTACTAGCTGCTACTACACTTGCCACAACAACCACTACTACTACTATTACTACTATTACTACTATTACTATTACTACTTCTCCCTGGTTTGACTTGTACCATATGTTCCCGTGTGTTTTCATGTGAATAATTGACTTGCCTTTGTGTGTGTTTGTGACGTGTTTTACGGGTGATTCACAAACACGTGCTTATGATATAGTTGGGATCCTACAACGGATTGCTAATAACTATGGAAAGGGTTTTGTAGCTTAGTTTGAATATGTAGGACATATCTCACACTTAATGACAAACGGGTGAGGACAATATTCTCCCTCCGACTCTTTATTAGAACATCACGTGTTCGTATGTTGGTCATTGAGTCAAAATACGACAGCGAACGGTACAAGGTCCAGGTGAAGATTTGAAAGTCCACGTGCATCAACATATAATGTTGTTTCTCGCCCCTCCCACTCAAACCCCAACCCCACCTCTCCCCCGCCCCCAATGTCATCACACCAACACACGCACGATGCCCCGCCCCTCCCCACCCCCACTGTCATGACATTAACACACGCACGATACCCCTGCCACCCCGCCCTTCCCCACTATCACCTCTCCCCCGTCCCCCAATGTCATCATGGGACCACACGCATGATGCCCCTCCCACCCCGTACCTCCCAACCCCCACCTCTCCCCCCCCCCCCACCCCCAATGTCATCATGGGATCACACGCATGATGCCCCTCCCATACCGTACCTCCCAACCCCCACCTCTCCCCCCATCCCCAATGTCATCATGGGATCACACGCACGATGCCCCTCCCACCCCGTACCTCCCAACCCCCACCTCTCCCCCCCCCCCCCCCCCCCACCCCCAATGTCATCATGGGATCACACGCATGATGCCCCTCCCACCCCGTACCTCCTAACCCCCAACTCTCCCCCACCCCAAATTTCATCACACTAACACACGCGCGACGCCCCTATCACCCCACACAACCCCACCCCCACTTCTCCCCCACCCCCAATGTCATGACATTAACACACACACGATTCCCCTCCAACCCCGTACCTCCCAACCCCCACCTCTCCCCCACCCCCAATGTCATGACATTAACACACGCACGATACCCCTCACACCCCGTACCTCCCAACCCCCACCTCTCCCCCATGCCACATTTCATCACACTAGCACACGCACGACGCCCCTCCCACCCCACACACCCCACACCCACTTCTCCCCCGACCCCAATGGCATCGCCGTCAGAGACAAATGACTGTCTGCCTAAGGTCTCACTTTGTCTCTGTGTAAGGTGTCGCATGTAAAGTGAGTGCCTGAGTATTGGTTTACGCCGCTTTAAACATTATTCGAGCAATATCAGGGTGAACGATGCAGGGAATAGGCTTCACACGGTGTATCCATGTGGGGAATCGAACCAGGGCCTTCGTCGAGCGAAGGCTTTAACCACTAGGCTACCCCTGCGTTTAAGGAAAAACAAAATTATCAGAAGGCAAAGTTCTGTTGTAGAAATGTCGTCATAACTTAATCGCCGGCCTATTGTAAAGCAAAACAACCACGGTAATCAAGATAGTATTTATTTGATCAACAGTGATCGTCGTTGGTATTCCTATGTGCAGATTTACAACGTATTGTAACACGTAATATGACAATCGTGATATGGTAATAATAATAATATACATGTATATCTTATATAAGTACTCAACTTGTCTGATAAATTCTAGATATATGCTAAATTAGTAAGTGCGTCAAGTCAAACGTGTACAATAATAATTACCTATATAAAGCTCAAATTAATTCTAACAACATCCAATTATTTCGTCACCGGGAATTCTATTTTTCTGATAAGTCCATTATCACTTGGGTCTGTGGGTTGTGTCAAGGTATGATTCATGCAATAACAATTTCTCGGGACAGTTATAAGAACCCACGGCTGTATCATTGCGCAGGTCTGTGATCCAAAACGACTGCATACGATATGATGTTACGTAGTTAAAGTGTGAATGTAGGTGGTCTTCTTTCTAGTAGGTCCGATATGATATAAAATAGGTAGCTGGCACGATCTGGAAATGACATTGCAAGATTGTTTCTTAAAGAAAAGAATTCTACGTTATTCCCAGATCAAGTACATACGTTTTGTACCTGGCTGTTCATTTTGAAAACATGTAATCAGATCAGCAAATATACTGTTACAATGTAAGCATGCCATTCGTTTGTGGACTGATTCCTCAGCATTGCAGTGTCACCCTGTTAAATTGTCATGTGTGTTTGTATATTACTAGAACGGACACACTGGGTTGTAAACATTCGATACGGTTGTAATTGTAACTTGTGGGGTGCGTATGTACAAAATAAATAAAAATACCACAGACACTGGGCATCAGAAGATACTATCTTCCTGGTGTTGACATGTTCCAAGCTTAAACAAGCCCATCCTTCTGATGGCATATTACCAATGTATTCCCTGTAAACGTAGAGAGAGTGAGTGAGTTGGGTTTAACGCCGCTTTTTTGTTCTAATGGAGTGAGTATGAGTGAAGTTGTTTTACGCCGCTTTGAAAATTATTACAGTATGCCAGTTATATCGCGGCGTGACAGCTTATTTTGGGAGGAAAGCCCGAAGTGATGCAGGTCTCAGACCTTTACCACTTCGGCGAAACCCACGAGCACGGGTATGGTGCTGACAAATCTAGAAACATAATTTGATAAACTTCAAACCACAGAGAGTTTTGAATACGAATTATGCTGAATAGTTCACAGATAATACAAAAATATAGGTTTTACACGGGTAATTTATTTGTTCAGCGGCAACGGAGTCCGAAATGAGAACACGTGTGGATGACTTGAAATGACAGGATAATGCGGATTTTATTCATATATACTCACCGACAAAAGAAAGGCAAATATCCTTTATGTTGGTTAATACATGAAGAATTACTCACATTCACAAACGAACATACTGGTTTGTTGTGTGAACCGACGCTCTTCAACGCATCAAATGTGACGTCATAGATCCATGACTCGAGATACACCATTAGTCTCGTGCAGGATTAGCATGTAATGTTTGGAAATCACGTGCAGCATATCGTGATAAGAATAAAGACAATGTGGTAACACTTGACTGTTAGTTTTGTCATTAATTGGTAAACATGACAAACATCTCTTCTGAAAGTAATACTTCTCTATATGTTTCTGTGGGTTGTGTTTCTTTTGCTGGTGAGTATATTTCAGTGTCTTTCCTAATACTGAGATAAAAATGTAAGTAATTTAGTTCACGCACATTTTAGGCGCGAAAGTAACTGTTCCCTGTCCTCAAATAACAACTTAACAACTATTAATTATCTATGTGTGGATAAACATAACATATATATATAAAGCACAGTAAAGTTCTAACTCTCAGGCACAATATAGTAATAATTACTTAGGTGGAGTTAGAGATTGAACCCCAGTTTTAATTTTAATTGGCTAGCGCTTTCAACTCGTATCACGTACGAGTCTCATTAGGCCATAACTGAATAACTGAATATAGTTACGTGACGTCACAACATTTAGAGAACTATGACGTCACAATACCAGGGTGACAATGGACAAATAACTTACGCCTTTACATTTAAAGTTAAATATAAAGGCGTAAGTTATTTGTCCATTGTCACCTTGGTATTATGACGTCATAGTTCTCTAAATGTTATGACGTCACGCAACTATATGTTACTACTTCAAGTCCGTTATTCAGTTATGGCCTGATGAGACTCGTACGTGGTACGAGTTGAAAGCGCTAGCCAATTAAAACTGTGTTCAATCTTACTCCACTTATTTAATTATTACTATATATATATATATATGTCTATGTGTATATAAATATAATGACAATACATCTTCACACGTGCGTTGATTATTTTCCTTAGTTTTTCAGCTCCTACTTGCAACGTTGTTGAAAGTTGTAAAATACATGGTGCTTGCTTCATGACGTCCGGTGATGGCCCGGACAGTGTAATATCTACCGTTATATCACAGATACACTTCAACAGGTCGTCGGTGGGGCCTCTCTCTATCTGGATCCAGGCCATATTTTACCCCCGTGTTTGTAGATGTTTGTGGGGTGGCCCCTCCCAGACGCTGTCGTCATTCTCCCCGACATGTCATACCCGTCATCAGACAGCGGGACGGACCCCCTCCGATTAGGCGCCCTGCGTTCCTCCCCCATCCACGACCCCTGGCTGCTCGGGGGACGCCCGTACGTGTCGGTCATGTTTCCGCTGCCCCTGTTCTTGAAGTATTTCCACAGTGCCATGCCTCCCCCTGCCAGAACCATGGAACTCAGGGCACCCGTGGCAGCCGCCAGACCGACACTACGCGTGTCCTTGGCATCGAAAGCCGTCGTGTCGCCATCTTGGAACGTGCACGTGCAGCCGGTGTTTGTATTACACTGTAAAGCAATTTACATGAGAGTGTTTATAAGATGAATTTCATGTTTTATTTGTTAGTGAGACCGCTGTAAGAAATAGTGGAGACACTAAATACTGCACATCACGAGATTATTCATGATGTAAGCTTGTATCTATACAGTTTTAAAACAGTAAGACATTTTCCCTCTTCGATTGTTAAATGCGGTAATATACGGCGGATTAATTTTGCATGAAAGTATTTTGGACCAATGGCCTGAAGAGATTCTCTATCTGTCTGTCTGTCTCTCTGTCTGTCTGTCTGAAAAGCAATATATCATGTTGATGCATTTCCAGCACATTGAATGGTGGGTAGTATAGAATTATTCTTAATTTTTTTAAAAATTATTTTTAGTATAGAATCTTGATAATACGATTTGGATGAATATTTGATATATCTATTTGATATCTGTTTGATCTATTGATATTTGACAAGTGAAATTTACCCGCGGGAAATACAAAAGGGAAGGTGTACAAAGGGACATGACATCATGACTTTATTTGTTTATCCTGGTGTAGGTAATACACATACTGCTATAGCAATGGACGATGTCGGGGATAGTCACCACGATGTCGGGGATAGTCACCACGATGTCGGGGATAGTTACCACGATGTCGGGGATAGTCACCACGGGTGACGGGGATAGTCACAACGATGTCGGGGATAGTCACCACGGGTGTCGGGGATAGTCACTACGATGTCGGGGATAGTCACCACGATGTCGGAGATAGTCACCACGGGTGTCGGGGATAGTCACCACGATGTCGGGGATAGTCACCACGATGTCGGAGATAGTCACCACGGGTGTCGGGGATAGTCACCACGATGGCGGGGATAGTCGACGCGATGTCGGAGATAGTCACCACGATGTCGGGGATAGTCACCACGGGTGTCGGGGATAGTCACCACGATGGCGGGGATAGTCGACGCGATGTCGGGGATAGTCACCGCGATGTCGGGGATAGTCACCACGATGTCGGGGATAGTCACCACGATGTCGGGGATAGTCACCACGATGTCGGGGATAGTCACCACGGGTGTCGGGGATAGTCACCACGATGTCGGGGATAGTCGACGCGATGTCGGGGATAGTCACCACGATGTCGGGGATAGTCACCGCGATGTCGGGGATAGTCACCAAGGATGTCGGGGATAGTCACCACGATGTCGGGGATAGTCACCACGGGTGTCGGGGATAGTCACCAAGGATGTCGGGGATAGTCACCACGGTGTCGGGGATAGTCACCACGGGTGTCGGGGATAGTCACCACGATGTCGGGGATAGTCACCACGATGTCGGGGATAGTCACCACGATGTCGGGGATAGTCACCACGGGTGTCGAGAACAATCCCGGAGAAAGGTCAGTCACTAATATCTGCCGAAGCAGTGATCTTGCATTGAAGGGAAAATAGTGATGGATCAGACACTTATATGACTGTATCCCTGACGTCAGTGATGACACCGGTTGTTCCCTCTTGTCATACAGCTTGGTACAGAGGTTGCCAGCATCTGAATGTTTATGCATCCACCCAGAAAGGACACTGAATACGGTATCTCAGTTTTGTCTATGACTTCCAATTCTGGTGGATAGATGAGGGAAGACACTCATTTATTTGGCTGACAGAAATGAGGTCATCTAGATGTCTGAAAGTGAGGGTGAACATTTCTTTTATGTAACTGCATTAGTCCTAGAATTCTATTGTTGACAACAAACCAGAGATCCGCTGTTAGAGGGACGCAATGGTGCGTTTTTATTTGTTACTCACAATTTTTACCCGCTCCCTCTAAATCTCAGCCTGAGTATTGTCCTGATAGCTACGACATAATAATAGTATATTACGTTATATGAACAATGCATTTTTAAAAACATTTAAAAATACCGATTTGGAAAATAGTGGAACTTTAGGAACTCTTGTAGATGCTTCAGATTAATAGCTATTACCATTTTGGCGCCACATGAATACGATAAGTTAAATATTTTTAAACAGGGTAAAAAAGTGTATCTTTAAAACAGGGGGTTCCGCCTCGGCAATGTGTACCTTGAGAGAGAGAGGTTGGGTTGGGGTGGTATGGGTATAATCCAAAAGCCTACCCACAACATCACGAACAGATATGTAAACCATTGTTGTACTTTAACAACCAAATTACCACGTTATCATGGTGGAATCTTTTTTACACTTTAAAAAGGGGGACGGTCACCCCCAGAACACCCCCTCCTCTGAATCCGCCACTGATATCGGCATCATTTACATCTACAATATATCGATTTCTGTCAGTGTCTGGTTAATGAAATATATATAGTTTGTTTAACTACAAAAATCCAAAATAATTTACAAACACCATTGTAGTTCTTTAGTTAGATGTTAAAATTAAAGTTAAACTAAAGTTAGTTAAATTATAATCTCAGTGAGGAAATTGAATCCGTCACCGAACTGCAATGCGTCAATACCAGTGTTGACAGCCGCTTCTGCCAATATGATGTACAGTATTTTGCTGGACAAGCTGATGAAGATGCTCAGTTCTCTGTAACTCACCTCCTCAGCAACCACTTCGATGAGAAGCAAGGTAATCCAACTGAGCACAATGCCACATACGGGCACCTTCAGACTCATCTTCCACTCCGCTTGGCGTGTCACGGTGTTGTCCGAGTCACGACAGCGCACCCCCATCCAGTCCAGTACCACGGTGACCAGCAGTAGCGGCAACCAGCGTTTACACAAGCGTCAGTCACGTGTCATTAGCAGACAATCGAAGTAGGTTATCAGGGTTCCCGTTGGCTAATACACTACAAAAGTCTCAACCCCACGTCCACGGACGAAAATAACAGAAATCAATAGGATTAAATTGCCTTCGTGAAGAGATATATCTTCCAGTGTTATCACATAGCCGTGCAACGTCGGGGTATCATGGACAGTTTGACATATGCTTATTTTTGTCTATTAAAGAGTTAATGTTGTGTTGACGTTTGTATGTAAGATTCCTCCCGTGTTGTGCACAACCCAATATACGTCATGGAGTTGAAACAGTCGTTGTTTGATGTGACGGCCAACATGACACAAGACGGGTTCTCTCCTTGTTGACACGTGTGAATAGCATCAGCCGTGATACCTTACCACGGCAGTGTAATGTGTACTGATTATAGTGGAATGATAAAGACGTATCTTATAACTATTTTATTTTCAAAATTGTTTATTTACATTCTCTTAAAGACAATATAGTTTACCGCAATACATTTTAAGATGGTGTAAATGTATGACGGCGACAGCATCTTCATCGTCTTATATAGTTATACTTATTCAGACACTCCACTCTTATCAAAAACCACTCCAATAAACGTACGTGAATCACCTTGCAGGAACTGCTTTTAATACGCTCCATGAATCCATACAATGTTTGTCTACTTAATACATATCAGGCTAATGTTCACAGTGTTTGTCTACTTGATACACCCAAGGCTAACGTTCACAATGTGTGTCTATTTAATAACAGCTTAGACTAACGTTCACAATGCTTTTTCTACGTAATACACATTCCCCTAACGTTCAAAATGTGTGCCTACTTAATACACCCTCCTCTAACGTTCACAGCGTCTGTCTACTTAAAATACCTTTCCCTAACGTTCACAATGTGTGTCTACTTAATACACCTCAGGTTAACGTTCACAATGTTTTTTTTCTACTTAATACACCTTCCCCGAACGTTCACAAAGTGTGTCTACTTATTACAACTCCGGTTAACGTTCACAATGTGTGTCTACTTTATACACCTCCGCCTAACGTTCACAATATTTGTCTACTTAATACACCCCAGGCTAACGTTCATAGTGTTTGTCTACTTAATACACCTCCGCCTTACGTTCACAATATTTGTCTACTTAATACAGCCCAGGCTAACGTTCATAGTGTTTGTCTACTAAATAACCTTTTCCTAACATTCACAATGTTGGTCTACTAAATACACCCCCGCCTAACGTTCACACTGTTTGTCTACTTAATACACCTCCGCCTAACGTTCACATTGTTTGTCTACTTTATACACCTCCGCCTAACGTTCACAATATTTGTCTACTTAATACACCCCAGGCTAACGTTCATAGTGTTTGTCTACTAAATAATCTTTTTTATAACGTTCACAATGTTTGTCTACTAAATACACCCCCGCCTAACGTTCACACTGTTTGTCTACTTAATACACCTCCGCTTAACGTTCACAATATTTGTCTACTTAATACACCTCCGCCTAACGTTCATAGTGTTTGTATACTAAATAACCTTTTCCTAACGTTCACAAAGTGTGTCTACTTATTACACCCCCCGCCTAACGTTCTCATTCTCTTAAAGACAATATAGTTTACCGCAATACATTTTAAGATGGTGTAAATGTATGACGGCGACAGCATCTTCATCGTCTAATATAGTTATACTTATTCAGACACTCCACTCTTATTAAAAACCACTCCAATAAACGTACGTGAATCACCTTGCAGGAACTGCTTTTAATACGCTCCATGAATCCATACAATGTTTGTCTACTTAATACATATCAGGCTAATGTTCACAGTGTTTGTCTACTTGATACACCCAAGGCTAACGTTCACAATGTGTGTCTATTTAATAACAGCTTAGACTAACGTTCACAATGCTTTTTCTACGTAATACACATTCCCCTAACGTTCAAAATGTGTGCCTACTTAATACACCCTCCTCTAACGTTCACAGCGTTTGTTTACTTAAAAAATCTTTTCCTCACGTTCACAATGTGTGTCTGCTTAATACACCCCAGGCTAACGTTCACAGTGTTTGTCTACTAAATAACCTTTTCCTCACGTTCACAAAGTGTGTCTACTTATTACACCCCTAGCCTAACGTTCACAATATTTGTCTACTTTATACACCCCAGGCTAACGTTCACAGTGTTTGTCTACTAAAAAACATTTTCCTTACGTTCACAAAGTGTGTCTACTTATTACACCCCACGCCTAACGTTCACAATATTTGTATACTTAATACACCTCCGCCTAACGTTCACAATATTTGTCTACTTAATATACCCCAGGCTAACGTTCATAGTGTTTGTCTACTTAATACACCTCCGCCTAACGTTCACAATATTTGTCTACTTAATATACCCCAGGCTAACGTTCATAGTGTTTGTCTACTAAATAACCTTTTCCTAACGTTCACAAAGTGTGTCTTCTTATTACACCCCCGCCTAACGTTCACAATATTTGTCTACTGTATACACCCCAGGCTAACGTTCACAGTGTTTGTCTACTTAATACACCCCAGGCTAACGTTCACATTGTTTGTCTATTAAATAACCTTTTCCTAACGTTCACACTGTCCACTAAATACACTCCCGGCTGACGTTCACAACGTTTGTCTACTTAATTCACCTCAGGCTAACGTTCATAGTGTTTGTCTACTAAATAACCATTTCCGAACGTTTATAATGTTTGTCTACTAAATACACACTCCTCTTACGTTCACAATGTTGGTCTACTAAATACACCCCCGCCTAATGTTTACAATGTTTGTCTACTAAATACATCCCCGCCTAACGTTTACAATGTTTGTCTACTAAATACACACTCCTCCTACGTCCACAATGTTTGTCTACTAAATACATCCCCGCCTAATGTTTACAATGTTTGTCTACTAAATACATCCCCGCCTAATGTTTACAATGTTTGTCTACTAAATACATCCCCGCCTAATGTTTACAATGTTTGTCTACTAAATACATCCCCGCCTAACGTTTACAATGTTTGTCTACTAAATACACACTCCTCCTACGTCCACAATGTTTGTCTACTAAATACATCCCCGCCTAACGTTTACAATGTTTGTCTACTAAATACACCTCCGCCTAACGTTCACACTGTCTACTTAATACACTCCCGGCTTACGTTCACAATGTTTGTCTACTTAATACATCCCCGCCTAACGTTCACAATGTTTGTCTACTTAATACACCTCAGGTTAACGTTAACAGTGTTTGTCTACTAAATAACCATTTCCTAACGTTCACAATGTTTGCCTACTAAATACACACTCCTCTTACGTTCACAATGTGTGTCTACTAAATACACTCCCGCCTAACGTTCACAATGTTTGTCTACTAAATACACCCCCGCCTAACGTTCACACTGTTTGTTTACTTAATACACCTCAGGTTAACGTTAACAGTGTTTGTCTACTAAATAACCATTTCCTAACGTTTACAATGTTTGCCTACTAAATACACACTCCTCTTACGTTCACAATGTGTGTCTACTAAATACACTCCCGCCTAACGTTCACAATGTGTGTCTACTAAATACACACTCCTCTTACGTTCACAATGTGTGTCTACTAAATACACCTCTACCTAACGTTCACAATAAGTTTACGACGGCGCTTTCTTTATGTGTTCGTCTGTTTGTACACAAACATGGTGACATATGATACAAAACAAACATGTGATACATAGGACGGTACACTCTAACATTGGGGGCAGTGGGGTAGCCCAGTGGTTAAAGCGTTCGCTCGTCATGGGTACAATGTGTGAAGCCATTTTGCTGGTGTCCCCCGTCGTAATATTGCTGGAATATTGCTAAAACCTTACTCACTCACTCACTGAAACTGTGTTTCCGTATTGGAATTTTCCGCATTATTATATATCATATATCAGGAACAGAAAATAGGTTGTATGCTCGCCAAAGGCTCGCTTAATGTGATTTGTATTCATGACATGGGATATATACAATGTAGAAACTGTAATCTTTGTACCTGGAACTGTGAATAAACAGATCTTAAGACTTAACGAAATGTCACCGGTGATGACATTGTCAATGAAATAGGAGCGACGAAGCTCTTTCCAGAATCTTTAGATATTTCCGTTGACAGTAGACTGAATTTATACGATTGCGACTTTGTCATAAGCCTGTGTCCAGGAATCACTGTCAACGAATATGATAAAAGATGTTCGCGAAAAGGTGAATGTATACTGTCACACTAATGATGCCTGTCACAAACACCTGCAAAGGCAAAGTAAGTGTTCATCTGAACAAGAACTGAAATATATGAAGGCAAAATAGGAATCGCATTGGACAAATCTTTTGCCACTGGCGTCAAAATATGGATCTGTCCACCATAAAATGTTTTGAAAGCCTTGCTGGGGCTTTGAATGTTGTAATCAAACATGTTTTGGAGCATGAGCCGTATGACACTCTTTTGAAATCTTTGAGGAAAGAACATGCTCGATTGTATCTCCATAGGTGGAGCTTCTGGAATGTTGCTCGACAGGAAGGGGAAATGTTACGATGAGACAATTGAAGTCATCCTTCTTGTCATACAATCTTGTGGATAGGCATTGTCACAAGGAATCGTTATGCATAGATCTAATTATGAAACACCTGTCTCTTTGATATCAACCTTAAGTTAAACTTCTTGGCCAAACTCCCTTGTTTCATTGTTTTCATATCCGAGCACAAATTTCGATTCCTATGCATAACGAAACAGATCAGCAAGGAGTGGAACAGGGTTGTTGCCTAGGCCAGGCCTTCTTGTTTCCTTAATGCCCTACCCGCTTACACTTATTCATTCATATTTGCTTTCATTTAGGGACAAACTTCGAAGATAGAGATGTAAGTATAAGAGAATGTCCGAAATCCCGCGATTATTTTCGCGCGTGAAGCTTGTTCGAGGCCGTCAGGCAAGTTTCACCTGCGAAAATAATCCCGAGATTGAGGACTTTCTCCTACTTAAAACAAAGGTTGATCAAGTTAACGCCTC